GACGTGTTTCACTTTACCTTAATCACGCTGATCCGCTTAACTAATGCACCTCGAATTTTACGCGGTCGCGTAATCTCGGAAAAAAAAAAAGGGTGTAAACAGCGCGCCAAGTCCGAAACGTGTAAATAAGAATCGGTAATCCCTCTCCTCCTGTACTGAAATAGAAAATGTTCGTCGAACCAAGGAATTATTTCCTATGAAAGTACTAAACCGATGCTTTGTTAATTCGAAGAATGAATGAAAATAAATTCGATGCGACGTTTCTTCGAAATTCTGACGACGCATTCGAGGGAAGTAATTACTCTTTGAAATAAACATACATTTCTTCGGTGGGTTTTGCAACCTTGCGGAATGAAGCGCCGGTAAGTGGATTTAAATCCGGTGCTTAGATCACACCTTTTAAGTTCGAGCTTCCGTTGACGCGGTTCGTAAACTCGCGGCGGGGAAACGTATACACTGGGCGGTTTAATTGACACGTCTCTCGGCCGGTGTCAACGTCATCGACGTGGCAGCGAAGCGCGCCGTTGAATAGCGCCGGGCGTAAACGGATTATGTCGCGGTTATGCCTGCAAGCTACTTTTACTTTCCGCTCATCCGAGTTATCTGGCTCCCCGGAAGGAACGGGATTAGCGGGAATTTTAACGGTTTGGAGGTTAAGACTCCCGCCGAGAGTGTCCAAGCAAAGGGACTAGAAAAGCAGCCGCTTTGGCCGGGAGCACTCCGACGCGAAGGGGGAATACCGTTCGCAAAAACGTGAAAGATTAGTAGTCACCCTCCCAAAAAAAAAAATAAATAAAATAAAATACAGGGAAAAGAGAGGAATACCGGGGAAGACTTCAAATGTCGGAGATTAAAGGGGGGTGGAAAATGTACGCCGGTGGATCGAGGGCTAGAGGGAAAAGGACGATGTTGGGTTATCTCATTCGATTTATTGAGTCGCTAGACGACTCGCTTAGGGTAAATACAAATAATAAGCGACGCCTCGGTTCCAGCTACGTCCAACGACGGCGTTACGGGGATGCCGTTATACAAGAGAACGGCCTCTCGGGTCGTGACTCCGGGGGTCGCTGCGGAACGCCGCGCGGAGCTCGGTGGGGTGGTTGCGCCGGGTTGCGTAAGCGCGCGCACACTGCACGGAGGCAGCGCAGGGACTGCAACATGGGCCGCGCGGGGCGAGGGGAGGGGGGCCCCGGCCCGTGCCGTGACACGTGATCGCGCGGTGCCACCTGGCGCTCCTATTGGTCCGCCGTGGTCACGTGTTCGAGCCTGCCATCGGCTGCCAGCCCTGCGCCCCCAACCCCTCCCCGCCCCTATCCCGCTGTCTTTTCTGTCATGCCCACGCGTGTCCCGCGTCACAATGCGCGCGGCCGTCCCCGTGGAAGGGTCGGGTCGGCGGGGTGCCCCCGGATCCTTTCGACCGCGGGACAAAGCGATCCGAAGATGTGCCACCCCCCTCGCCCCGAGAGGTGCACCTGCGAGTCGTGGGGTCAGCCTCCACCCCTGATCGAGTATCGATCGCGGGCGAGATCTTCCGAAACCTCTCTCTCTTCCTCGTACCCCTTGCATAATGACCTCCCTGGGGATTTATATTTTTACTCTGTATTTTAGTATCATTGTTAGGGTTTACAGTACTCGCTTTGTTCACCTGGTCTAACTTTGTTACTACTACTACGAAGTAATATTTAATTCGATGAGTAATTACTTATACTGAAGTGAGAATAAATTGGATGGAATGTTTCTTTGGAATTACGTCGGTATGTTCGAGTTTGAGAGGAATAATTCTTTGCATTAATGAAGGATTTCTTTCGTTCAATGAATTATTTTTTCTTTGTCGCTCTAGATCGAATTGCGCTCTTGGGGGCTGATACCTAACCTCTGAAAAAATTCTCTGCCCAGAGAATCTCGCATTCGAGACCAATGCGTGGAACGAGGGGGCTGGGAAGTTTGAAAAGTTTCGCGCCGCCCGGTGCGCGCGATTAGCTCGGGGATCGAGAGATCGATTCCCGATCGTCGCCGAGACTCTCGTCGATCATCTCGCGGAAGTATTACTCGGGGAGAGAACTCGGGCCGATCCATCAGCGCGCATTCGTAATGTGCGGGGGACCGATCGATCATCGCGCTCGCGGGTCTCGTCGTCCCTCCACCCTCGGGGTCTTTTCGCTCGGCGATTCCTTTCGGTTTAATTTCTTTCGCCGGCGATCCCCCGCCTACTCGGCTTCTCCCCGGAACTCTGAGGGAATTTGTTAACGAGCCCCGAAATCAGCCGATCGCGGCTAACCTCAAATCGCGCGATCCACTCCATCTTGAATGGAAACCGAGCTCCATCAAAGAGGTTAGGTTTCATCGCGTAGTCGTGTCGATAAATAGGGCTAAGTCACGAATGCAAGAGATCTTTCTCCGTTTTCGGACGATTTCTTAACCCCTTAACCATTTTTTGTGAATATCATAGCCTAGGGTCTGGTCGGTGCACAATTAATGTTACATGGCACTTCTTTTATTTACCTTGTAGTTACCTTTAATCGAAGTTAATAGCGAACGGATTTATAATCGATAGCGGACAATGGCGATATTAAATACCACCAAGGGCTTGTCTTCCTCGTCGAGAATGAAAGGAAAAAAAAAAAAAGAAAGAAGAAAATTGGTTAATCGACGAATGGCCGTTCTTGCGGGCGACTCGGTAAGGACACCGTGGTAAGGACGCCTCGCGGGAGATGCTGAAAGGCCCTTTCGGAGTCAATGAAGGATTTATCTCGTGTCATTTGCATACGTCCCGAGAGCCGGGTCGGAGCAGGCGTTGCGCAATCCATCCCGGGGATGTGGACGATCCGAGCCCTGGGGGGGAGGTTACGTGTACCTCGCGGTAAAGAAGGACCAAAGGGCCGACTTTTCCCCGGCATTGCCCAGTAATCATCCCGGCTAACTAATGGGGTGATTAGGAGCGATTTTCCTGCTGGATTAGCGCCGATCGAAATTGGAATTTCGTTAACGGTAACGTAATGGCCGCTCGCAATGAGCGCTTTAATGGCGCGCCGGGGGTGCGGACGCTACCTGCCGCCAAATCAGGACGAAGTGCTCGCATAATGAGAGTCGCCTATTCATTCGGGGGTAAACCGCACCCCCGGGGGTCGGTTTAACTAGTTTTTGACTAAACTGGCCGGTTATCGCGCCCGGTTATCTCCCAGAGAGGTCCGATAGGCGAGGCGACGACTCGCGATTCGCGCCCCCCAGATGACGGGGAAGGCTCGTTCGTCGCAAATAACGGATTATCCGGAGGGTGTCAGGTGCCGGTCCAATCTGCGCCCCGTTCGATTGTATTATTCGCTCAACCCGGTAACCGATAACGCGCTTCAATCCGGGCCGGGGTCGCTCGAAACGCGATTTGCCGCCAGGACTGTCTTCACCGCGCTAAACCGCGACGGGGGGTGCAATTCTGATAAGGCAAAGTGGGCCAAACGAGAACCCCCCCCGGCTCCGGCAAATTGCCCGGGAATTTCAAACCCGCGCACCTGGTTACTCGGAGCCGAGGACTCGCCTTAGAGATGTATTATATCACGGAGGAGACACGTCGAGGGTGGAGATTAACGCGCACGTTTTCGAGAAAGAAAATCTCCGAGTCGAGGTGTTTACGGTGGAGGGGAAAAATTGCGGGGCAAACGGGGGGAGATAAATGCGAGGGAAATAATCGCGCGTATAGGAGAATGGATGCACGGGTGTTAATATTAAAATGTACGTTTCGGAGTAGAAACAATGAAGTGTGAATATTCAGGTATAATGGAACATAAATATGGCAGGGTAAATAGTGGGAATATGAATAATGGAGTGCACTTATTGGAGGAGAAATACGGAAACGTTCGTTTTGGTGCACAAGTCATTTAAGGTGAAGTGAAACACCCTTCAAATCAGGCGATTCGAATACAACACTTTTTTTTTAAGGGCATTAGACCAAACAAAAAATACTGTGCCGAAATTCAATTACCCTGTTGTAGATACTTACAATAAGCGGAGACTGTCTACGATAAATGAAACTTTTGCACCCTGTCTTTGAGAAACGTCCTTCCACTTATTACAAAGAAGCCAATATATATGGATCGTTCATGAAATTAATTAAGGCTTCGGAAAAAATAATTGTGTGTATAAATTCATTGGATGAAATGATTAATTTACGAGAGAAAAATTGTTAAATTAATGCTATGGTGTTTTCGGTATTTCTATTCGAACAAAGAAGCCAATATATATGGATCTTTCATGAAATTAGTTAGTCCGTCAATTTGACGGATTTCGTAGATATAGGTATACTACATACAGATTTTAAAAATTAGAAGGCTCATGAAAAAATAATTGTGTGTATAAATTCATTGGATGAAATGATTAATTTACGATAGAAAAATTGTTAAAATTAATGCTATGGTTTTTTCGGTATTTCTATTCGAACAAAGAGGCCAATATATATGGATCGTTCATGAAATTAGTTAGTCCGTCAATTTGACGGATTTCGTAGAGATTGGTATACTACATACAGATTTTAAAAATTAGAAGGCTTAGGAAAAAATAATTGTGTGTATAAATTCATTGGATGAAATGATTAATTTACGAGAGAAAAATTGTTAAATTAATGCTATGGTTTTTTTTCGGTGTTTCTATTCGAACAAAGAAGCCAATATATATGGATCGTTCATGAAATTAGTTAGTCCGTCAATTTGACGGATTTCGTAGATATAGGTATACTACATACAGATTTTAAAAATTAGAAGGCTTAGGAAAAAATAATTGTGTGTATAAATTCATTGGATGAAATGATTAATTTACGATACAAAAATGGTTAAAATTAATCCTATGGTTTTTTCGGTATTTCTATTCGAAGTTTGAATTCCGACAAATTGACGGGTCCCGTGAACCTAGTGTTAATTAGACGAGTAATCGCCTCTTATCGGGCCTGCACTTTGCGCCTCGATGTTCCCGATAATCGGACGAATAACAATGAAATTTGTTTATTGTTCCAGACGGTCTCGATCTCGATGTTATTGCGGTACTCCCACCACCAGATCTTCATCTTCATCGGTAAGTGCACAAGGCCGGTCGGTCTCTCTCTAGCCCTGTTATCGCTGCATTTCGCGATATCACCGATCGGTGATAAGGAAACGTGCCCTGGGATTGCACTCCCTAGAATGCGGCCCGGATTCGGGATCGAACCCGTGACGCTGCTATGCATCGAATCGATTTATCCGGGAACGTCAGCGGTTCGATAATCGAAGTGGCCGGTCAATATTTGAACTATCCTCCGGATCGATCGCTCGATAAGGGGACCAGTTTTTTCCCTGGTTTCGACGGAGCCAACGGTGCGTTTATCGGTCCCCTGTCCAACGGGTCAATGACCGATTGCGACGATCCCCGCCCGAATCGCTGACATCTCTGATAATCGCCGGACGTTACGTGGATTTCTATTAAAAAAAAAAAAAATACTGATTATCGGCCCCGATACGCCGTGCCACCGAGGAGAGGCTTCCTATTCCTTTTTTTTTTTTCCCCTTCGGTGCGAATATTTGGACGCCATCCAGATGGAAAACCGCGGGAGGATTAAGAGGAGGCTTGGGGGCCGACGACCCCCCGCGAAGAGGGGCTAATGTTAAGTCCGCCTTTTCGAGCACGTACGGAAGAAAAAAAAAGAAAAGGAAAACCCGACAGATGCGAGAATCGATACTTGGGACACCCTTCGCTCCTCTTTTATTCCCATCGTTGTTAACACTTGCGATGATCTGCGAAGAGATTCTCTACCTGGACGAACTTCCTTGGTTGAATTTTTTTAGGGGTAGTTTATACAGCGCTCATCGTCGAAATTGACATTTTTGAGGTTATGCTCGAATACGTCCAAAGAGGTGTCAGGGAGAGTAATGGAAATTCCTTTAAATCGAGGATATGATTTTTCCTCTCAATGAAAAGATTGTTCCTTGCAATTATACATGGTCCAAGCAACAATGTATATGTCGACAGTGATTGTTTAAGTTAATTAATCTTTATTCTCGGGGCGAGTCGCGAATCGATACGTGGGCGACATCCTCCGTGCCGCTCTTCCTCCTATCGTCATCGGTGATTAAACGACATCCTTCGCTCCTTTTATTCCAATTGTCATCGATACTCGAGATATTACGCGCTATGGGCAGATGTTTAGTCGGAAACACTTGGGTCCATTTATTCCTTTTTTTTTTTTATTCCCATCACTTGACGCTCGCGAGGTTGCGTGTAACCGGCTGGACAAGATGGCGGCGCGTTTCGTGCACGCCTCCAGATAGGTCGGAGGACTATTATTAACCCGGCCGTTACGCAACGTTCAGGGTCAGTAGTAGTTCATTTCTTTTCCTGCGCACTTACGGTGACTTAATCTGTCATCAAGTGCACGGAAGGAGCGCGTCGATGCGTTTTAGAGGCCAGCCAGTTCCGAGTGGCGCAGTGGGACTCCGGGACCGACGCGGAGCGGCCGTGTGGCAGCGGGTCCATTGCGGAATTCTCGAGAGAATTCCCCAGGTGTAGGCCGCAGACAATACCGAATTCTTCATTCTACGTGGAAACGCCGAAATTACCCCGACTCGCGGGCGTAGAAATTGCGTCGCAATTGAGGACGACGCGTTCGATGCGACTCAACTCGACAGTGATACGAAATCGGTGCTCAGTCCGTAAAAATTAATAATCAATACGATCGCACTCGGCCGCATAGATTGCCGCGGTCCATTTGCGCAGAGTGATAAATCCCGAGATAAATCGGGTACCTCGTATTATTTTTTTTTCAATTTTTTTTATACCGCGCGGGGTTGATATCTCGAATGCATTTGGCGCGAAACTCTACCGAGGTCCTCGAGGGTGGGGTTCTTAGGTTAGGCGCAGGACGGAATCCTTCTGGGAGGGACTCGGGGATTTTTTATTTCGCCGGTTGATGTAGTTTACATTAATCTGGGATTTTTATCCCTACGGATGGATCGTGTTTCAGGTTAACTCGCGTTTTTCCCCGGTTTCCATTCCGCGATATCGAGCAGGGCGGCTTTCCCTTTACGTCCTCCTGTGTACCAGGATTCTCCGGTGTCGCGGACCAATAATCATTCGAACCTGCCTCCCGGTTACGTTTCAATTAATTTTCGTTTGCCGAACCAACCGGACGCTGTTCACCCTGGCCGCGGGGTCCAGGGCGGACCGCGCAACCTGCGGATGAAAGTTGACGGGGATGTACTCTGAGGGTCGTGGGATGGTCGCCGAAATTTCTCAAATATGGAAAATCGGGGGGTACCATTAACGGGGGAAGTTACCTCCGAGAGGTGAAGAGTCTCCGAGGGGTCGTAGAATTTTCTGCGAATTTTTTTCATCGCCGACGTCGGCTTTACTCGCCCAGGAATTTCGGTATCTCGTATCGCAGGCTGATAAACATTCCGAATTCGCGGCTCGTGTCGCCTTGGGGGGAGAAAAAAAAGGTAAAGGAGATCTGGGTCGACCGAGTTCGTCGACGTCTTTGTTTCGGGTCTTTCGTAAATCACCGGTTTTTCTCACCGCGCCGCGCGTTTCGTTTCCGATAACGACTCGGCGACGAGGGAGCTCCTTCCCCGGCCGAAGTTTGGACACGTGACGAGGATTCGACGGGTCACGGAGCAGGTGTCGATATATTTGGCCACGTTAGGAAGAGGTAGCCATTCGCGATGGAGCCGCTGCTGGTCGCCCTCGTGCTCGCCCTGGGAGTCGGCCTCTTCTACCTGGGAGCCATTCTGCATCGCCAGTACACGTATTGGAGGAAGCGAGGCGTTCCCTTCGTCGAGGTCTTCCCGTTAATCGGGAACAATGGAGCCGTGCTGCTCAGGTTCAAGACCTTCCCCGCCTTCATCGAGGACGCGTACTACCGATATCCTGGGGCCAGGTACCAGTGATGGGCGGAATTGGCCTTGGTCTTGCACTTGCGGCTACATTTGCAAGGCCAGGACCAGGACTTGCAAGAGGTGCAAGGTCTAGACCATGACCTAGACCCGATCGTATTTGCATAGTCGAGACCAAGACCAAGACCTAGACTTGACTATATTATTGGAACCGAGACCAAGACCAAGAGACGTTTTGCTCATCGCTACCAGGTACCACGGGCTCTTCGACTTCAACAGCCCTGTGGTGATGCTGAGGGACCCGGAGCTCATCAAGGACGTATGCGTGAAGAAGTTCGATCACTTCCCGGACCACCGGACCTTCGTCGACGAGGAGATGGACCCGATCTTCGGCCGGAACGTGTTTTCCCTCCGCGGGGACCGCTGGCGGGACACGAGGAACGCCTTGACCCCGTCGTTCACCGCCACCAGGATGAAGTTTCTCTTCCAGCTGGTCTCCAGGTGCGCCGAGGGGTTTGCTCAGTACCTGGCGGACCACCCGGTCGACGAGGTCGAGGCCAAGGACGCCTTCACCAGGTACACCAACGACGTGATCGCCACCGCCGCTTTCGGGGTCGAGGTTGACTCCATGAAGAACAGGACGAACGACTTCTACGAGAGCGGCAGGGACACCGCCAACTTCGGCAGCATCCCGAGGGTCATCAAGTTCCTCATCTTCAGGGTGTGGCCGCGACTCCTCGGGTACCTCGGGGTGAGCTTTCTTTCGGCTAAGTCTACCCGGTTCTTCAAGGACCTGGTGGCCGACACGGTGGAGCAGCGCCAGAGGAAGGGCATCGTCCGACCGGACATGATCCAGTTGCTGATGCAGGCCAGGGATAAAGAGGGAGGCCCGGAGATGTCCATCGACGACATGACCGCTCAAGCCTTCATCTTCTTCGTGGCGGGCTTTGACACCACCTCGACCCTCCTCTGCTTCATGGCTCGCGAATTGTCGCTAAACCCCGACATCCAGGAGAAGCTGCGCCAAGAGGTCGATCAGCTGGTCGAGTCTGTCGACGGGGACGAGGAGGGGGTCACCTACCAGACCCTTGGGAAGTTGAAGTACATGGACATGGTCATCTCCGAGACCCTTCGCAAGTATCCCCCCGCACCCTTCTTCGACAGGCTCTGTTTAAAGCCCTATGACCTCCCAGCATCCATGCCAGGGCACCGGCCGATCACCGTCGATCCTGGGACCGTCATCTGGGTGCCGATTTATGCCTTGCATAACGATCCGCGATACTTCCCGGAGCCGCAGAAATTCCATCCTGAGCGATTCAGCGAAGAGAACAAGGACAACATCCAGCCTTACACCTACATGCCCTTCGGCGTAGGGCCCAGGAAGTGCCTGGGCACGAGATTTGCCCTGATGGAGACCAAGATACTGTTTCTTCATCTACTGAGGCGATTTGTCATCAAGCCGACCCCGAAGACCCGGAGGGAAGTGGTCTTCAGCAAGGCGTCCTTCAACATGATGATCGAGGGCGGGTTCTGGGTCAAGTTCGAACCCCGCAAGATTTAGGAGATATTTTAATTATTTAATACACTGATATGCGCTTATTAAAAGGGACCTTCGCGTTACTTTCCTTCGATTGCTGCGTGGTTCTAGTGACATTGCGATTTTCCTTTTTTTATCCCCATTTTATACGACTTGGGCCAGAGGGCATGTTGCGATCTTAGGATTCCGAGGAGCGACTGGATTTACGCGTAAACCGGAATCGATGCCGTGTTGCGCAAGTTATGATAATAACGAGTCGCGAGACCGTGGACCTAGGGAAACTGCGATGCAATTGATAGTTAATTGGGATAATTGGTACCCAATGTAGTCCTTGGTGATGACGCACAGAGAGCACTCTCTGGAGTTGTATTTACTGTAGGAGCGTTGTTTTTCTATTTAAGGGCATCTGGGAATGCGCTCTTATTAAATGCTGGAGGGTGATTTTGTCGGATTTTTTCATCCCACTGTTTTATTAATTACTGCCCACGTCGAGAGGCGTGCGGTCTGGCCCTGTACAGGTGCATTATGTTTGTACAGTGCGCTTATGTTTTTTTTTTTCCCCCTTCGTCAGAAATTCCTGTTAATGGCAAAAACCTTTTGCAAGGGGCGTTCGATCCAAGGGACGCTTCGTGGGCTTTGTAAGGGGAGGTAGTTCCTTCTTCGGCAAACAGTATCGGCGATTGATCCAATTTCACCTCGTTTCTCTCCTCCCCCCTTCTTCCGAAAGTCCTGTCTCGAATTTCCGCAAGTCGAAACCAATCAAGGCCAAATATTGTCCGACTGAGGCCTGGTCTGGGCGACGGTTGCATTCTCCATCTCGCCTCTTTTAAACTGAGGGAAAACGAGGATAACCTTAAAAAAGCCGGAGAAAAATGCAGCGCGGAAAATAAAACATGGCCGCCGATGACGCGGGGCACAGCTGCGCATCTCTCCCGCCTCTAAAACCGAGAATCATGAAAAAAATGACACCCTGGATTATTATTAATCGCCCGGTTACGGCGCTTATACTATTTTCATAATCTCCCGACAGTTTATCATTAATAAACGGCATTCATTAATAAACGCTCGAGGTAAAGGGGAGACCAGAAGAAGTGGTTCTCCCTTCCGACGTGTCGAATTCGATTATTTCTCATCCAGGATGCTTTACGTTAAAATTATTATCGTCACACTATTCTGACCCTTAGGACTGTCATGATTTGTCATTAAATTATGTTTTGTCTCCATCTATTCCTGAATTATATCTTACGGATGTTTGAAGTAAAAAGAAAATCTTGGGGGCGATGGAAGACGCTCGGCGTTTTCCGGCTTTCTTCGGCCTTCTTCGGGTGCCTCCTCGGTACTCGAAGATCCTCCAGGTGATTCCTGTCGGTACAGGGAGCTCTTAATTACCGGCCGTCGGTCCCTTCTTTGCCGACGAATCCTCGTGGGGCGCGGAAAGGACGTCGCCACTTCTGGAGCTAAAGTGCTCCGTCTCGTTCGGGGGATACCTCGTGTCTCCTGGCACCTTTTTCTCTCATTTTCTTTCTTCCTTCGGCCTCGAGGCGCCATTCTCGCGGCCCTTTTCGATAATCGACTCGAATTCATGTACGCCACTGCCCGTCGGTACTCTTTAATTACTTGGGCGCGAGTTCTCGTTAAAATTCCCGCGCAATTGGCTCGCTGGTCCAGTGGAACGTTCACGGGTCACCTGACGAAAATGGAAGTGTAAATAACTGTCGTTGATAACGCGTAATCGCCTTGTTTACACGCCGGATCGCCGTAATAATGTTTACGGATCGCGAGCCCCGTAATGAAATCCCAGGCTCGCAGGGATAATTCCTGAATTTTGGAAAATTCCTCGATGCGCGTTTTATTCCCACTCCCTTATGCCAGTTAAGGGTCTTATGGTTGTTTATTACCACGTAATAAATTGTTCGAGGTTATAGAACTCATTGCGACGGTTTTAATGAAGAACTTTTGCGAATGATCTGAATTTTGTACCGACCGTTTTGCAGGGGTTGTAACACGGTTCTTTTGGACATCTCTGGAAGGATGGAAGGGAATATAAACAACGTTGCTATGTTCTCGGGTTAATCGTTCGAAATACAAATTTGCATAGAGAAACGGTGCTGCGTCTTGGTTCCCCTTCTTTCTTCTTCCGGAGCTCGCTTCGTTCTTCCTTGATTTCTCGGTTGCGCGTTTTTCACTTCCTCTTATTCCGGTGTCTTCGATATTTCCTTGATTTCCTTGACTTCCAATAGTGGCCGTAAGTAGTAGTCCGGTTTTTTTCGGGGTTTATTTCGGAGTGGTAGATTTTTTTCCCGAGGTTCCTCGCGTCGAAAGGACGCCATCTTGGAAATCCTGGAAAATGGAGAGAGAAGGATACCTCCCAGTCAGTGAAATTCGCCACCTCCGATAATCGGAGGTTTCCGGTTATTAGAAATTCCGGGCGGCACAGGGCGTTTTCGCAAACCGCGGGAACTACGGCGATAATAAGCGGGGAGAGAGCCCGGGATAAAAAGGCAAAAGGACGGAAAAAGATGGCGGACGCGGCGGGAAAAGGGAGCGGGAATTGACGAAGGAGTGGAAGGAGAGGAAGCCCCTCCTCGTCCGGAGGGACGGGGGTGTTATTGGTCCGGGTGGGCAGAGTCGGGCGAGTTTTAATAACTAGTGGGACCGAAGTTACTATCTGGCAAAGGTGAAATCTAAAATTCATTAAACCCGATACCGAGGCCGCCGCCCGGCGCTCCGGTAATTCGTAAGCGGCGAGGCCGGCCTCGCCTTAATGGCGGATCCTTTCCAATTCGCCTTCCGATGGTAGTTAAACTCGAATCTCGAAGGAATCGGCCAGCGTTATGTCGCTTTACGAGAGGATTTTCCGACTTTTTCCTACTTGGCCGCCGAAGAGTCTCCGATGCGCGGCCCAAGATGGCGGCGCAATATGGCGGCGCCCGTCCGACCTCAAAATCCCGATTCTACTTATTGTTAGTGCACACTTTTGTTCACCTATCTCGTAATATCCCTGGACGAGATCTACGCGATTTCACTTCTCGAAATGGTGGACGCCCTTTGTATGTACAATGTACTACAAGCGGCGCCTAGTATACCGTGAAGCGAGAGACGAGAAAACTTCCTCCGGGAATTCAGATCGAGATCGGCGAGAGGACTCGCCAACTTCGAGATTAATTCCCGGGTTTTTGCCAAGGCGGAGGCGATCCCCGGCCGGAGAGCGTTTCGTTCCCTCCGAACTTTATAGCCGATGTCGTTCGAGTTATTGCTAATAAATATTTATATCCGTTCGTGCCTCCACGCTCGACTTGTCGGATTCGCGGCCCGAGTCGCTCCTTTGTGAGCCGCCTTAAGCTTTGCCTTCCCTCGGAACGACCTATCGGGAAGTCGTCGAAAACTCGCGCGCGATTCCTATTTACGCTTCCTGGTCGAAATTTCTTATTTAACGCGGTGTATACGGGATATGGGGGAATGTTAATCATTCTTTCTCTGTCCCAGTGGATCTTCTTCAGATGCTGGAGTTCAACGTCACCGTCTCGTTTCCGGCGGCCTCTCTGTTGACTGTCATCCTAGCGCTCGTCGGTAAGTCTTTACATTCAGATTTCTATGCCACTATCGATTTACAAAAATTCTGAGGTAAGTACTACCCACAACGTAAGTACAGAAATTAATTCAAGCCACTGTCGCAACCCTAAGCCATGGAAGAAAAATCTTGAAAATGGTCATTTTAAAGTTTTTGACATTTTATTCATTATCGCACTCGAGGAATTCTAATTGAAGAGCTCTTTGAGCAACTAAATAGGAAGAAAGTCTCCCGAGGTTGTTTTCTTAATTGCGGTTATTTTACTCATCTTTATGAAATCCGTCCTGACGATCGATCACATGACGTGCGATCGTAGATGTTTATGCCGGACGTCGTATTAAAACGTCAAAAAAATTCTGAGTTAAGTACTACCCACAACGTAAGTACAGAAATTAATTCAAGCCACTGTCGCAACCCTAAGCCATGGAAGAAAAATCTTGAAAATGGCCATTTTAAAGTTTTTGACATTTTATTCATTATCGCACTCGAGGAACTCTAATTGAAGAGCTATTTGAGCAACTAAATAGGAAGAAAGTCTCCCGAGGTTGTTTTCTTAATTGCGGTTATTTTACTCATCTTTATGAAATCCGTCCTGACGATCGATCACATGACGTGCGATCCTGGATGTTTATGCCGGACGTTCTATTAAAACGTCGCCGAGCAGATATATTAATCGAGACGTCGCGTCAACGTCGGTTTAAGTAAATTGCATCGGTCGAACGGCGCCGTGACTCCGTATAAACTGCTCGTCAATGGGACGAAGGATCCATTTTAACCCTTAACTCGTGTTAAGGTGAAGTGAAACATCCTTCAAATCAGTCGATTCGAATACAACACTTTTTTTTAAGGGTATTAGACCAAACTGTACGAAACTTTGACACATCACTGCCGATCATCTAAGAATTGTCCCGTCACATTAAAAATTTGGATTTTTCAAAAAACTGTTTTAACTCGGTCCAGACCAGAACCAAAATGGCGCCGAGCTCTGATATTTCGATCAATATACAATTATCGAAGGCTCTGATATGAGAATCGAAAGGGTCAGGACAATTTTACGACAATTTAGAACACTCTGGTAATCGATAAACACGCATTTGAACGGGATAAAGGCAAAAAAAGTGCGCTTCTTTGCTAAAACGATGGTAATACGAGGTCTCGGAGTGAAAATTTAATTGACCTGGAAATCACAGATGGCGCAGGGGGTCCCTCCGCAGTCAATTAGGGCCCCAGAAGTCATGAATCCAGAGGATTTCTGGAGTTTTACTTCGATTTCTTTATAATAATTGTACGAAAACGACAGGTCGAATATGCCATTTGGTACAATACCCAATATAATTCGACCCAGCTGTCAATATAAAAACCAACGTCGGCAACGTAGGCATTTAGAAAAATCTTCTTTATCGACGTTGATCAAGTTCCTCGACGTGTTGCACTTCACCTTAAAGGGTCAGGAATGACCCTTCGCAGTGAATTTCCTGAACTGACTGAAGTAACGAGGATTAAAACGTAAACGGGTAAATCTGGAGGATAAAGTTGCAAGAACATATTCCAGTTTGTAAATCCGTAGGAAAAAAAAAAAAGTGTCAACGTGTCAGTCGCGGTTTAAGTAAATTGCATTGCATGTTTTACCCCTTATCTCGTCTCGAGGGGTGAAAAATGGCCGTTGGCCCCGGATTTCTAGGATTTAGTGGACTAACGGAGGGAGCTAAGGGTTAGAGAGGCTTCGGGAAGAGGCGCGCCAAATCCGGGGGATACATAACCTCCAATTGGTACAAGGACCGTTATATTCGACCCCGTGAAGCGAGTCGCGGCACTCGGGGGGATGAATCGTTAAAGTCCTCTCGAGCGACTCGACGCCGGCGGAGGTTCGGCTCGGTTGCGGAGCTCATCGGCGGAGACGGTTAACGGTTAAAGGGGATTTTGCATAAATTTCTGACGAAGGCGCAACAGTTGGGCAGACCCACCCCCTCGGCCCCGCGCGAGTGGAGGTGGCGGTCCGGCATCGCGAGGCCCATTTCCATTCCCGGCTTCCCGGATCCTCTCTCGACGCCTCTCGCGTCCAATCGAGTCGTTTCCACTGCGATTTTCAGTGATACGCGTATATGCGTGTACATATGAGTACATGGATATGTAATTCTCCCTCCTAGCTGCAAGGGTTTCCGCTCGGCGGCGCCACCAACGAGGTCGTTCGCTCGTTCATCCCCGGGACATTTTAAGAACCCCCGTTTTACGCCTCTTTATTCCAAGCCGTTTAAGGGACTCGATTTTCAGGCACCCCTTTCAGTTTCCCTCCATCGGGTGATTCGAACAACGTCGAACAAAGTCTAAGGACCCCCCGAAAAAATTGCGTTGAGGTTAGATGAGTCATCTCATGAATGTTTTTTTTTTATTAAAGGATCGTTTTATATGCTTACGGATACTTTTCGTCTCAGCGGGTATTCTTTCAAGGGAGAGGTTAAGGTTCCTTGCTGAGCCTTCTTGAATTAGTCCGAGTAGCTTTTGTCGCGGAGTTTTCGTGTTTTCTACGTCGGTTAAGGTGAAGTGAAACACGTCGAGGAACTTGATCGACGTCGATAAAGAAGAGTTTTCTAAATGCCTACGTTGCCGACGTTGGTTTTTATATTGACAGTTGTGTCGAATTATATTGGGTATTGCACCAAATGGCATACTCCACCTGTCGTTTTCGTACAATGTATATCAAGAAATCGAAGTAAAACTCCAGAAATCCTCTGGATTCATGCTTTCTGGGGCCCTAATTGACTGCAGAGGGACCCCCTGCGCCATCTGTGATTTCCAGGTTAATTAAATTTTCACTCCGGGACCTCGTATTACCATCGTTTTAGCATAGAAGCGCATACAACACTTTTTTTGCCTTTATCCCGTTCAAATGGGAATTTATCGATTACCAGAGTGTTCTAAATTCTCGTAAAATTGTCCTGACCTTTTAGTTTCTCATATCAGAGCCTTCGGTAATTGTATATTGATCGAAATATGAAAGCTCGACGCCATTTTGTTTCTTGTCTGAGCTGAGTTAAAAAATGTTGTTCAAAAATCCAAATTTTCAATGTGTCAGGACAATTTTTAGACGATCAGGAGTGACGTGTCAAAGTTTCGGACAGTTTGGTCTTTTACCCTTAAAAAAAAGTGTTGTATTAGAATCGACTGATTTGAACGGGGTTTCATTTCACCTTAAGCGTTGAGGTTAGGTCCGCCGGATCCGAAGTTCCTCCCGGTGAACCAGCAGCTCCTTTGTTCCGGGAATGTGCGGTGCAAGTGTTAGGTTAGGTCGCTCACGGTGTACCTTCGGCAGCGGGTGTTGACTATGCATCAGGGTACACGACGCCACGAGTGGCGCCGCCATGCGGGCGATTGCGTCAACCACTTGCGATTCACTTTCGCCTCACGTTTCGACGAACGACGTCCGAATCGGTCGGGACGCGCCATAACGATTTTCAAACAATCTACCCCGACCATCTCGACGATGAATCGGGATTAATGCGAATCGAGGGATCGAGGAGAGTGCACGGAAAGTACTCGAAGTATATCGAAAAGCAAGATGGCCGCCGCACTTCGGCGACCCGCCGCCAGGGCGCGCGACCACTAGTTGCGCTCGGCGCAACAAAGCAAGATGGCGGCGGAGGTGGTAAATTTCCGGCCGCGGAGGGGAAGTTGTTATCCGGAGTAATAGGTTCCGGTTCCTGTGTCGCTTCCTGCCCTCCATCCGTCATCCCGCTCTTCGGTCCCGGATTCCCAAGATCTCGGCAACCTGTCGAGTCGTTGCCTCCGGTTAAACATATCTTTCTCCCCCTTTGCTTCCCTTTCTTTCTTCCTTTCTCTCTCGTCGGTCCTATCTTCTCCTTCGCGGATGAAAAATGGAGGGCCGGCCACTCGAGTGCCCGAGACGGAAACAGAGATTTCCCTGATTAAGTGTAATGATAGTGATAAGGGGATTTCTCGTTTAAGGTGAAGTGAAACCCCTTTCAAATCAGTCGATTCGAATACAACACTTGTTTTTAAGGGTATTAGACCAAACTGTCCGAAAATTTGACACATCACTCCTGATCGTCTAAGAATTGTCCTGACACATTCAAAATTTGGATTTTTCAAAACAATTTTTTAACTCAGTCCAGACCAGAACCAAAATGGCGTCGAGCTCTCATATTTCGACCGATATACAGTTATCGAAGGCTCTGATATGAGAATCGAAATGGTCAGGACAATTTTACGACAATTTAGAACACTCTGGTAATCGATAAACTTGCATTTGAACGGGATAAAGGCAAAAGAAGTGTTGTATGCGCTTCTTTGCTAAAACGATGGTAATACGAGGTCTCGAAGTGAAAATTTAATTGACCTGGGAATCACAGATGGCGCAGGGGGTCCCTCCGCAGTCAATCAGGGCCCCAGAAGGCATGAATCCAGAGGATTTCTGGAGTTNTTGTATGCGCTTCTATGCCAAAACGATGGTAATACGAGGTCTCGGAGTGAAAATTTAATTGACCTGGGAATCACAGATGGCGCAGGGGGTCCCTCCGCAGTCAATCAGGGCCCCAGAAGGCATGAATCCAGAGGATTTCTGGAGTTTTACTTCGATTTCTTTATAATTACTGTACGAAAACGACAGGTGGAGTATGTCATTTGGTACAATACCCAATATAATTCGACCCAGCTGTCAATATAAAAACCAATGTCGGCAACGTAGGCATTTAGAAACATCTTCTTTATCGACGTTGATCAAGTTTGTGAAGCTTTTCCCCGAACTGGGTGTACCGAATAATTTCAAACTTTACAATGTCAATGTGGAGGGTACGAAGAAGGTCCCGACATCCGTGAAATTTCATTTTTTTTTTATATTAAATTTTTGAAATATCCACGAAGTAACGTTTTATGAACGAGGCCTCTTCGACGCCTCTTTCACGCCACCTCAAGGGTTAATTCGGCGCGGTTGAGAAATGGAGGGTTCCTCGCGATCGGGTCCTTCTCCTTCCTGGAGAACGCT